TCAAACTTATGAGTAGAGAATTAAACATGGATGGACATTGATGTTGAGCCCTATATTCACATGTATTGGACAGCTTTTTGACCGTTATTATTCAGGAGAAACTAGTGATCACCTACTTCATATATCTGCTTATCCCACTTTGTCACTCAAGAAACCCCTTTCTTTCCTATCCCATCTTATTTGTTTCACAAATGTTCACCTCTTTTCCATTAAACAAATCCTGCGACCAAACATTTGTCAAGTGCTTAGTGGTAGATACTCTGATTTCACATTGTGTGTTATGAGTGACACTACTAACTAAATAGGTTTGTATCAATGATGGCCCGAAAACCTAGCTATATCAGACCAACATGCAAAAATCCATATCAATCGGAAAGTAATATTTTTATTATAATGTTAAAACTTGCATGTGAGAAATATTCCAAAATTCGTGAGAGCCTTGTCATGGTGAATATTTATTCTGCGAGCTGGTTCTTAAAGTTTATGTGTCTATTAATAACAGATCCAAAAAGGCTTGATTGCAAAATTAATCGTTGCGAACTAGTTTATCCTTGTAAATCGCGAAATGAAGTTGTCATGAATAAAAGGTGATTTACAGAAGATTTAATTCATTTTGTATAAAATAACTTGCCTACGTCACAATGAGTTACGTCAAAAATGTATTACTCTGCTTGACATTACTTTTAAAATACTGTAAACGTAGTATATTTAGTGTGTACGATATTTTGCGGAAATTGACTTTTGAATAAGTAAGCGAAGATTTGATTTAGCGCATTTCCTCATTTTTAGGTCACCTGAGTAAACTCAGGTGACCTATTGCTATCTGTTTTCGTCCGTCGTCGTTCGTCGTGTGTTAACATTTGAACATTTTCAGCTTCTTCTCTGCAACCACTCAACCAATTTCCACCAAATTTTACATAAAGCATCTATGGGTAAAGGGGAACAAAAATTGTGAATTTCATGGTCCCTGCCCCCCTGGGGTCTGAGGGGTGGGGCCAAAACCACTAAAATTAGTGCAATCTTTAAAAATCTTCTTCTTTTCTCCTGGACATCAAGCAGTCAAACTGTTAGCATGAATGTAATGACCATTGAGTCCTCTACCAAAATTTTGAAATTCATGGCCCCAGGGTCAGGGGTTCTAGTGCTAGGGCGGGGCTCTATTGATTATGTAGTGAAAATACATGAATTCTTAGAACATCTTTCATGGCCCCAGGGTCAGGGGTTCTGGTGTTAGGGTGGGGCTCTATTGATTATATAGAGAAAATGCAGAATTTGTTTGAAAATCTTCTTCTCTGCTCCTGGGTATTCAACAAACTAACTAAGTATATAGTTATGATGAGCAAGAATGTCTCTTCCAAAATTGTGAATTTTATGGCCCCAAGGTCAGGGGTTCTGGTGTTAGGGAGGGGCTCTAATGATTATAGTGAAAATACATTAATTCTTTGAAAATCTTCTTCTCTGCTGCTGGGTATTCAACGAATTAACTAAGTATATAGTTATGATGAGCAAGAATGCTTCTTCCAAAATTGTGAATTTTATGGCCCCAGGTTCAGGGGTTCTAGTGCTAGGGCGGGGCTCTATTGATTATGTAGTGAAAATACATGAATTCTTAGAACATCTTTCATGGCCCCAGGGTCAGGGGTTCTGGTGTTAGGGCGGGATCTATTGATTATATAGAGAAAATGCAGAAATTGTTTGAAAATCTTCTTCTCTGCTGCTGGGTATTCAGTGAATTAACTAAGTATACAGTTATGATGAACAAGAATGCTTCTTCCAAAATTGTGAATTTCATGGCCCCAGGGTCAGGGGTTCTGGTGTTAGGGTGGGGCTCTATTGATTATATAGTGAAAATACATTAATTCTTTGAAAATCTTCTCTGCTCCTGAGTATTAAATAAACTAACTAAGTATATAGTTATGATGAGCAAGAATGCTTCTTCCAAAATTTTGAATTTTTATGGCCCCAGGGTCAGGGGTTCTGGTGTTAGGGTGGGGCTTTATTGATTATATAGTGAAAATACATTATTTCTTTAAAAATCTTCTTCTCTGTTCCTGGGTATTAAATAAACTAACGAAGTACATAGTTATGATGTGGAAGAAAACCTTTGTGAATTTTATGACCCGAGGGTCAGGCTTTCTGTTGTTAGGACAGGGCTCTATTGGTTATATAGAGAAAATGCAGAAATTGTTTGAAAATCTTCTTCTCTGCTCCTGGGTATTAAGCAGATGAACTACCTATATAGCTTTGATGAGCAAGGGCCATTCTTCCTGAATTGTGAATTTCAATGGCCCTGGACCGGGGGGGGGGGTTCTACTTATGAAAATGAATTATTTGATTGAAATCTTCTCCTTTGTATCAATCAAATATTTTTGATAAGCAAGGGTGCCTTTTCCAAAATTGTGAAATGTGTGGACCAAGGGTCAGGGGTTCGTGTGTGGTAATGAATTATTTGATATGATAATCTTAAAAATTCATAAATTGTATATTTTATGTACAAAAGTTCAAATTTTCTTATACATACTAAGTACCCACAGTTTATTAATGCAAGTGCGCATTATGACGTCATATTATGACGTCATTGTTCTATCCCATTCAAGGTAATAAATCATATCAACAAAATCACGTCGGCGCAAGGGCATGTCCTATCTAATTTTAAATAAACAATGTATGATATTAAGGAGAATATCATTAAAATTAATAAAATTGCTGCACAAATCCTATGGACTTTCTCAATCGAAAAAAATTTTTGGAAACTTACACGGGACTGTGAATTTTTACCCTGTTTAAACTTAAAACTGCACGGATAGTAACTTCACAGTTGCAGCGCCGACATTTGTGCAGCAATATCGTAAATCCTTGGAATATCCTGCGTCTTTTCATACCTTGTGTGTGGTATGTGGCATAAACTTGTGTAGTAGATATGACGTCATAATATGACGTCATTGTACACTGGATATTGCATGTCGTGGGTAATGTATAAGAAAACAAGTCTTAACATTTTCTGTGCGGTAGGTAGAGCAATTATGGAATTTAATTAGATATTTTGCATAAAAACCTCTATATTTAGCCTTAACTCACTTGCGTGATTAGTAGAATGCATTTTTTTGTTCCCCTACTCTGTCTATGGGTATTAAGTAACCAAACTAAACATGCTAAGTGTTTAGTTATGATTAGCAATGGTGCGTCTTTCAAAATTGTGAATGCCATGACGTCTAGTTTAAAACATGAACCAGAGTCGATCTTTGTAAAGTTGTTGCATGATGCTCAGGTGACCTATAAGGCCCATGGGCCTCTTGTCTTATTTATGTGTATATGTGAAAGACATTTAGCGTTGTACTTGATTTAGCGGTTGCTGCGTTCTGCCAAAGCTGCTAAGAAGAATACACAGCCAAATATAATACGTTTACAGTATATGCTAAATTTGTAGCCCTTTTCCAGAGGAAAATTTGTCTCATTTTCTACACCGAAATTGAATTACATGAAAAAGGAATGAAGCTTATTTCAACTTATGATATGTATGATATAACATAACTTGGGGCAGTTTATGCTTTTTTATAAACCGCTTTGCGGTTTACAAAGCGTAAACTGCCCCAAGTTATGTTATATAGTATAACAAAAGTTGAAATAAGCTTAATTCCTTAATTAAATTATCATTCTCTGTATAATATTACCAGGATTTGAAAAATGATGGAAATTTAGTGCTGTTGTTTATTTAGAATAAATATTTTTTTAAAAAAAGAAAGTTTCTAACTAATGTTTGTTTGAGAGAAGTCAGTCAATCCCAAATGTTTATCATATTTGCATAGCATGTAAAACCTCCCACCACAAAAGTCAATTTTTAGCTCACCTGAGCCGAAGGCTCAAGTGAGCTTTTCTGATCACATTTTGTCCGGCGTCCGTCTGTCCGTCTGTCTGTCCGTCCGTCTGTCTGTCTGTAAACTTTTCACATTTTCGACTTCTTCTCAAGAACCGCTGGGCCAATTTCAACTAAACTTGCCACAAAGTATCCTTGGGTGAAGGGGATTCAAGTTTGTTCAAATGAAGGGTCACGCCCTTATTCAAGGGGAGATAATTGGGAATTAATGAAAATTTAGTGGTATATTTTAAAAATCATCTTCTCAAGAACCACTGTGCCAGGAAAGATGAAACTTATGGGGAAACATCCTCAGGTAGTGTAGATTCAAGTTTGTTCAAATCAAGACCCCGGGGGGGTAGGGCGGGGCCAAAATGGCTGACCAAAGTTTTACATAGAAATATATAGGAAAATTCTTAAAAAATCTTCTTCTCAAGAATGACAAAGCCATAATTCATCATATTTATATGGGAGCATGCTCATGTAGTGTAGATTCAAGTTTGTTCAAATCATGACCCCCGGGTAAGGGCGGGGGCAAAATGGCCAACCAAAGTTTTACATAGAAATATATAGGAAAATTCTTTAAAAATCTTCTTCTCAAGAATGACAAAGCCATAATTCATCATATTTATATGGAAACATGCTCAGGTAGTGTAGATTCAATTTTGTTCAAATCATGAGTCCTGGGGGTAGAGCGGGGTCAAAATGGCCGACCAAAGTTTTACATAGAAATATATAGGAAAATTCTTTAAAAATCTTCTTCTCAATCATTTTCTAAAAAATAGCAAATCCATGATTGGTCATGGGACTACTTTTGGATTTAAACTTTACAATAAAAAGCCATTTTATACTAGTCCTACCCTTGGTGCTCAGGTGAGCGATGTGGCCCATGGGCCTCTTGTTTTTAGTTCTTGTCTTGTATACTTGTATGTAGAGTTGACTTACTTAGCATCAGACATAGTGTGGATCTATGTATTTACTGTAACAATGTGTATGTATTATCTGCTAGGATTTATAAGATAGAATAAGATAGGATCTATCTGATTTTGAATAACTTTCTTTCATTAATTGTTAGAAATATCATTTAAATAATATTTGAATTCTTAATTCAGATTCATTAATGCTGAGACATATTTCTTTCTTACAGCTTCTTTTGACGATGCTATATGTCTCGTCCAAAGATATCTTTTTTCTGATCGAGATGGAGGGATTTGGATTTGCTTCTGTCCTGACCATGGTGTTTGCAGGACAGATTTATATGAGGTATAGGGAGCCTGATATTCCCAGACCAATCAGGGTAAGGTCATCCACAACCAAAGGAATTCATAGTACAGTTAAACTCCTTTAGTACGAACACGGATATTGCGAATTCACGGATATAGCGAAGTCATTTTTGATCCCACGCTGTATAAATTTAATGAATTTCTTTTACGGTTATAACGAATTATGGATATAGCGAAGTAATTTCAAAGGTCCCAGGAACTTTGTTATAACTGAGTTTTGCTGTACATATAGGTTTTTATAATGCTTGTTGCTTTCTGTGGTATGAACAGACCTTAGAATTTATGCATGTCAACCAAGAAATGTTAGAACTCTAAATAACAGTAAAAAAATAAGTAAACCCATGAAATTGAATTTTCTTGAATAAATATTTTTTTCCTCAAAACCACAAAAGTTTGACCCTATAAAAGTAAGTGATTTTTTATGCCCCCCTTTGAAGAAGGGAGGGCATATTGCTTTGCTGCTGTCTGTCGATCGGTCCGTCGGTCCACTTAGTTTCCATTCATTTTCTTCGCAACCGCTGCACATACTGAAATGAAATTTAGTATACAGATATATCACATGAATATCTAGGTCAAATTTTGTTATGGGTACGATCGCACCATTTTTGACAGAGTTATGCCCCATGAACTTAGAAAAATTTTAATTATTTGCAGTTTCCATTCATTTCATTTGCAACCGTTGCACATACTGAAATGAAATTTAGGGTACAGATTTATCAGAGTAATATCTAGGTCAAATTTTATTTTGGATATGATCGCACCATTTTTGACAGAGTTATGCCCCTTGGACTTGGAAAAATTCCAATTATTTGCAGTTTCTGTTCATTTTCTTCACAACCATTGCACATACTGAGAAGAAATTTAGTATACAGATTTATCAAATGAATATCTAGATTAAATTAAGTTTTGGGTACCATTGCACCATTTTTGACAGAGTTATGCCCCTTGGACTAAGAAAAAATTCCAATTATTTGCAGTTTCCTTACATTTTCTTTGCAGAAGTTGCACATATGAAATTTGGTACACAGATTTATCAGATGACTATCTTGGGCAAGTTCTGTTTTGGGTACATGTACAATCACACCATTTTTGACAGAGCTATGCCCTTTTGGACTTGGAAAAATTCCCATTTTTTTGTAGTAAATATGCATCAGCATTCCTACATTAATGCAGATTGGTGCATAAAAATTAAATAATGTCACAAAATACTGTGTTCCTGCATGGATAAATAGTGTTTAATCTAGACCCTAAAAAGGGCATGGTAATCAAGGAATCAAAAGGGCACTTTGTGTCGCACGACAGGATCTCTTGAAAGCACTTTTTTGATTTAAACAATATTTTATTATGAATTAACATAAAAGGATTGGACAGCAGGCATTGCCTATATAAGTCCTTTCCACAAAGCAGTGGTAAAGGGTATAAAGATAAAAAGGGTATTTACAAAAAGCACTTTTTAGCTCACCTCGACGAAGTCGAGATGAGCTTATGCTATACCCCCGGCGTTGGCGTCCCAGGTTAAAGTTTTAGGAGCAAGTCCATTCCCAAGTAACTATAAGCCCTACCTAAACCAAACTTGCATGGATGATGCATCTAGGGATGTACACTACCAGACTTGCTTTGGATGCTGGATCTGACCTACATTTTCTAGATGAGTGACGAGGTTAAAGTTTTTGGAGCAGGTTAAAGTTTTTGGAGCAGGTCCATTCCCAAGGAACTATAAGCCCTACCGGGACCAAATTTGCATGGATGATGCATCTAGGGATGTACACTACCAGACTTGCTTCGGATGCTGGATCTGACCTACATTTTCTAGATGAGTGACCAGGTTAAAGTTTTTGGAGCAGGTTAAAGTTTTTGGAGCAGGTCCATTCCCAAGGAACTATAAGCCCTACCGGGACCAAATTTGCATGGATGATGCATCTAGGGATGTACACTACCAGACTTGCTTCGGATGCTGGATCTGACCTACATTTTCTAGATGAGTGACCAGGTTAAAGTTTTTGGAGCAGGTTAAAGTTTTTGGAGCAGGTCCATTCCCAAGGAATTATAAGCCCACCCGGACCAAACTTGCAAGGATGATGCATCTAGGGATGTACACTACCAGACTTGCTTCGGATGCTGGATCTGACCAACATTTTCCAGATGAGTGACCAGGTTAAAGTTTTTGGAGCAGGTCTATTCCCAAGGAATTATAAGCCCAACCTGGACCAAACTTGCATGGATGATGCATCTAGGAAAGGACACTACAAAACTTGCTTCGGATGCTGGATCAGACCTACATTTTCCAGTTGAGTGACCAGGTTAAAGTTTTTGGAGCAGGTCTATTCCCAAGGAACTATAAGTCCAACCTGGACCAAACTTGCATGGATGATGCATCTAGGGATGGACACTACCAGACTTGCTTCGGATGCTGGATCTGACCTACATTTTCATTCCCAAGTAACTATAAGCCCTAGCTAAACCAAACTTGCATGGATGATGTATCTAGGGATGTACACTACCAGACTAGCTTCGGATGCTGGATCTGACCTACATTTTCAATCCCAAGTAACTATAAGCCCTAGCTAAACCAAACTTGCATGGATAATGCATCTAAGGATGGACACTATCAGACTTGCTTCGGATGCTGGATCTGACCTATATTTTCCATACAAGAGACCAGGTTTAAGTTTTGGGAACAGATCAATCCAAAAGAACTTGAAGTCCTTGATATCTGCAGTATTAACAGTTATGAATATTTGTTTACACTATACATGTTTTTCACGCTACACGCATAGAAATGTGTATATGCCATGTAAGGGGTTAAACACAACTTGCAAGAATATTGTTATTGGGATGAATACTAAATATTAAGAAAATATGATGTGAGATTTGCATTACTAAAACTAATAACATTCGTCGAGGTGAGCTTCGTAATCTTTGATTACCTATGTTTTAAACAAATGATAATGTCTTTAAAATTATAAACATTTATTAATTTTTACATACTTTAACATGTTTAATTACTATTGATATCCTTTCATATTGAAATCTTTATTTAAACAAGTGCCTAATTTAAAGATAAGTTCATATATCTGTATTCCATTCATTTAAAAAAAAATGCCAACACAATTAGCACACCTGGGCTGACATGACAATTGTTGAACAAAAGGAATATAAAAAGGGTATTTACATCCAATTTCTTTAATCAAAAAATTAGTAAGGTTACACTAGAGAAAGTAATAGGTATGAATCTTGCTAAAACTTGCAAAAATTATTTAAGTTTGGAGGTATAATTTTTTTTTTACCTGCTTGGACTGTGTTATTTGTGCACTAGTATAGTCAATTTAAACATTGAACAAAAAAATACTTTTTTGCCAGAGAAGGGGGGAGGGGCATTTTGGAAAATACATGTAGAGACCATCCTCTTTACTTGGAAAATATTCTACCAACATGATCAAGTGAAAACTGATCTTACACCCCCCCCCCCCCCAAAAAAAAAATTGAATGCTATATATAAAACAGTGTATTATTTAAAATTGGAATTATTTTGATTATTGGAATTTGGGGTTTTCAAGAAAAAATCCCTTAGTTAGACTAACTTAGACAACTAAAAAGAATTTCTATTGCATTTTGTGTTATTTTTTGACTAACTTAGACAACTAACAAGAATTTCCACTTCAAATTGTTAATATTAGTTTGACTAACTTAGTCAACTAACAAGAATTTCCATTGAAAATTGTCTTAGTATTTGACTAACTTAGTCAACTAACATGGACATTTCTATTAAAATTTAGTTTAGTTAATAATTTTAGAATTTAAGTTTTTTTTCTATTTATTTTATAATTATCTTGTTTTAAATCATTTTATTTGTTTCTGAAATGTTTGTGCTGGTGTTCTTTTTTTTTTATTTTGCATGCATTTTATTTTTTGGACTTTGCCTAAAGTCAAGGCTTAGTCAGTTTTTTGTCAGTCTCAGCAGGGTTAGTTAGCGCACGCGTAAATGGGGTTAGTCATGCCAGGCACAACTAACCCCCCTACTGCGCATGCCTGGCTACTTTCTAATCGTAGATTTTGATTAAAAACGTTCAAATTAACATCCCATCGTGAATAATGTTCAGTAAATACTCTCAAAAGATTCCAGAATCCTCACCAGCTTGCGTAAATTTCGTATTATTCGTAACGTAGTTCACAATCAGACGCCGAGGGAAGATCGTGTCATTTCGTTGTTTCCAATTTTTCACTAACCTTGCAGTTTGCATTCGAAAAATCCCATTCTTCGCGTCAACATTGCCAAGAAAATGCTGTAATAAATAAAAATATGTTAACAATAGGAAAACATGCTTTAAAACGCGGAGAAACACGAAGATATACAGCCTCCTTCGATCTCAACACAGCCAGTGCAGACACAGCTCGGCGTCACTTCCGCTGTGACGTCAGATTCATTCGTATTCAATCGTAGCTACTCGGCTATTTCCGAAATCCTCTTCGGGTCTTGATCTCCGATACGGAAAAAGACGAGTTTGATCCGACCGCCCCTGCATTGTGTAAAAGGAATATTGGGGTTTCAGTCTTATCCAATATTTTATGAAATGTTAATTAATAGATATACATAAAGACTTGTGACGAGATTACTTCAAAACACGTATGAATTAGTATTAATCCACAATATTAACGTACCTTTCTTTTGCAGCTTTACGTTGTACATCACAGGTATATAACTCTGTCTCTCTAATTGTTCACAAAATTGTTTGTTCGTTTCAATGTTGAATTTAGTGTTTTTCCTGGTGAAGGTAAAGTTTATGTTCAGGTGTAATAATTATTCTAAAAAAATATTTTGATAGAGGAGTAAAAATAGTACTTAGTATATAATTTCACTGTCAGTTTAGAGACGCATTTTAGACACAGGTACTTGTGTAGAAATATTCAAAAATCACATACAATATTTTGATATAAAAAGTAATAATGAAGGTGAATGGAGGACTCTTAATGTGTAGGAATCTATCTATTCCACGCATAAGTTAGACGTCCAAATATTTTCTTCTCTGATACGTTTTATTTCTTTCTCTCTCTCCACTTGGCAAAAAATGGGGGTCCAATC